ACAGTTGAGCGACCGTGCTAGAACCACGGAACTCGGGAATGCCTAACACCTTCTCCCGGGTTAACAGAATTCCTTATCCGGATTTCTGGTGCGCAGACTGTAATATGGAGTCATTCTTTTCCTCGATTCGGGATTAAAATTGGTGACTTGGGACACCCTAAATCTCCCAAGTGGCGACTCTGAAATAAATAAACGAATCCCGTTTCGATTGTCCTTTAATTGAAAAAAACTCCCTTGTACCCTCGCGGGTATGTAAAAAGGAGGTGTGACAGTTAGTGAGTTAGTTAAGAAGGTTAGTTTGTGTTTGTTATAAGTAGTGGTCGTTTGTATAGTTAGCCTTAAGCTTCTTTTTCAGAAATGAAGATAGCCTTTCTCTGATTTCCTCTCTTCTAGATTCTTCTTCCTAGCTCAGATCTCTCTCTCATGGCAGCTAACAAAATTTTCATTTTTATCAGTTTTTAACACAAAAGCTTTCCAAAAATAAGCCCGGACTGCGTACGCCAATCGAGGAGGGATAAAATGAGGTGTTCAAAGCTTAAAAGCACAGAATTAGATTCTAAAACATAAGATGACCTTTCGGGTCATCACAAAGCCTTTTCACTTTCACTCTTGGATAGTTATAGCTACGAAACTTTACTGGCTTGAATAGGAAGAAATCCATAAAAAGAAAACTACTTCTTTAGAAAATAGACTTAGTGCCTGTTTGGATTGGTTTGTTTTAAGTATTTTTAAGCCAAAATAGCTTTTAAGTTATTTTGTAGTATTTGGGTAAAGTAAAAAAGTGCTTTTAAGCACTTATTTTTAAGCTAAAATGACAAAAACAAGCCAAAAGCTAAAAATTTTAACTTATGGCGTAAAAGCTATTTTGACTTAAAAGTCACTTAAAACAAGCCCATCCAAACGGGTTCTTACTTAGGAGTGACTCATCTGTGCTCATTTCTCACAATCTTTGGAGGCAGAGGAGGAACTTTACTTGACTTAGGCCATAGTTGTGGCTCATTCATTGGAAGAATTGAGTTTTCATAAATTCTTCTATATGTATCCACCTTATAACAATCATGGACATAGTCAATAATGTTATCCTTCTTAGCTCAAATTACTGCAATAGCATGCTTGCAAGGGATTCCAGTGAGACTCCATTTTCTACAACTACAAGATTTATTCTGCAAGTCAACTGCCCAATTGTCTGTAACTGTAGCTCCTAAAATTTTATAGCTCCAGTAGTTAGATTTTCTAGGTATATATTCAGCAGCTGCAATCTGATTTTTGTGTAATATATCCTTAATCTTAGGACAAACATCACCCAAATTCTATTTCTCTGCTTTTTTCCTATTAGCTAGCATTCTAGCCATGATTAGATATCGTAATTTCTCTAAAAGTGTCACAATTGGCTTGTCACTAGCATCAAGTATCATGCTATTAAATACTTCCCACAAATTATTTAGTAAGGTGTCACATTTAGCATCTGAAGAGAAATGCGACATAGACCATTCGCTAGGATCTTTATCAGTTAACCAAGAAGCAGCATCAGGATCCAACTTTAAAATATCTGTCATACAATCATTAAATTTCCTCATGGTAGTAGCCTTTGCAGCAACCCAAAGTACTTCTTTTAATGAGATACCGCCAAACCTAGCCCTTTTGAAATTGTTATGGAGATGTCTTACACAGAACCTATGGTTAACATGAGGCAAAACTTCATTAAAAGCCTTAATAAGTCCTTTTTGTTTGTCTGACGTAAAGGTCCAACCCGTCTCATGTATATTCAAATCAGCCGCCAAATGATTCAAAAACCAAGCCCATGTATCTTTGTTTTCCTTTTCTACAATTGCATAGGCAACAGGGAATATGTTGTTGTTACCATCATGCCAACTACAAATAAAAATTGAGTGCCATACATTGGACTCTTCAACCAACACCCGTCCACCCCTACTATTTTCCTACAACCCGCTCCAAAGTCAAGCTTGCATGCAGCAAAACAAATATATATTCTTTGAAATTCTCCATGGCTCATTGGGAATCTCGTTATCAGTGAACTTCATGTAAACTGTGCTACCTGAATTTGTCCTATCAATTTCATTGCAATAATCCCACATCATTTTATATTGATCTTTAATGTCACCATCAATTAATGCAATACCCTTCATCTTAGCTCTTTTAGCTTGAGATAATGTCACTTGAGCTCTTAGTTCAACGCTTACTCTATCCCTAAATTCAGCCACTTTCCAGTCCCGATTTGATCCAATTTTTTTGAGGTATCTTCTTGCAATGAAATATAATGTGATTGTTCTATTTTCATGATGCCACTCCTTACAAGTATGTATGGGATTGTAAGTTTTAATCTGGAAAGCCTTGTCTCTTTGCATTCTAGAAGCCATGATTATCCATTTGCACTCTGGATGATGTATGCAACGTGCCTCCATTCTTACACTATCATTCCTACTCCACTGGATATACTTTTCATTCTTAATCTCATGAGTTGCTACAACATTCTTAAATTCTTGCTTTGTCCCAAAGGTATATTCTAAACCTAATACTGGGTTATCTCCATCGGTCTTTGGATTGAACTTAGGAAAGTTGAAACTTTCAGTTTCAAAATCACTATCCAAACTCTGCACGTCTTCAGAATCAACACAATCAGGATCCCCTTCTATATCAACCATCTTTCTTTTTATTTCGTCGCTAAGGAGTTCCCTCTCTTCCAAAATGCTTTGGTTCCTCTTCTCATGTGTATCAACCAACGCATCATCTGAAAAATCAGCTTCTGAATCACTAAAATCGCCACAAAATGAATTTTCACACATAAGCTGATGCTTGTTATTTTCTTTAATATTTGATTGAATTATTGAATCCACTTTGTCCATTTGAAAATAAGAGTCCAAGTGTTAAAGGTATATCTCAAGCACATTGTCCTTTTGGATGCTTTTACCAACTGCAGAGACTTCAAAATCTGTAGAGATCAACTTCCATCTACTACCATGCCTTTCACACTTACGCCAAAAAGTTATTGAATCACTCAAATAACCACATATCTCTGCCATCTTCTTGAACTCAACAATATTCAATTCTACAGCATTTACATAATCAATGTAATCTATGTTTTTTCCAACGTAGTGCTTCTCTGGTATACGATTCATAATTCCCCCATGATATATTTTCATAGTGACAAACGAAGCCTCGATTATCGAATCTGAAATTACAAATAGTAAATTTCATAAGGTGTTGTTGTAGACAAGAATAATACAAGTTGTTTGTCGAAAACGAACCAGCAGAATTAACAATTGAACAGTTCTTTTAGCAAGAGTAGAAAAATACAAAAAGGTTTAACAAAATCAAGATGAAAAACGCAATGCTCATACTGTAACAACAAAATTCTTCAATATGAAAATCGAGAGGAAACTCTCACCATAAAAATGAGGTGATTCTCTTCCGGTGTTGCGCCTTAAGAGCATTGTTACTTCCTAATAATTGATTCTGCTACAGATGCGATTAGGGATAGGTATGATTTGCGATCAGAGCTTTGGCTCCAACACGGCTTGGTATTACTCTCTTCGCAAGAAAGGAAGGCGGAGAGACAAAGTACCTATTTGTTTGGAGGGAAAATAAATCATGTGACATGCACGTGAGGTGAGTCCCATTAAAAAACTAATGGTGTTTAGAATTGTGATTAAAAGTGCACCACTTTGTTCAAAAAAAAAATGACTATTAGTGCATCATGTTAAAGAATATGTATTATTTTAAGTCTAAAGCTAAATATGGTGTATGATTTTGGGCTTTCCTCCATTTTTCTCATACCTTACAGTTAATTGTTGCGATTCTACCCTGCACAATTTAGGATACCATTTCAATGCCATTAGAATCTCTTCCCTCTCGTATCTTCTCCTCTCCGCTATTCAGGAGTTCATTGTCACTCTAGTAATAATTTAGAAGGGAAAAAACATAATCTCATAGTTGAAGCATCAATGACCTTGAAAAGTGAAATTCAACTTATAAAAAAACTTAGAAAAATAGAAAAAATATTTTGATCTTTTTGGCATGGATAGAGACTCTCCAATAATTGATATTTGACATATACGTTCAATTGTTTCCATTTGTCACACTTCCACTTGAGAAGTTTTAGGTGTCTATTTATAGTGGATGGACCATACTTTGGCCAATGAATTAAACACAAAATTCAACTAAGATACAAAGGCACCAACATCAAAATAATTTCATCCAACACGTTGCTTGATTTTTTTTTTCCCCCAAGGATAATGAGTATTGGCGGACGCTGTTTAATTTCTATGTCATTTTCCATGTCGATAGATATTTTCAATTGGCAATTTGCTTCATTAACATATCCTATTCTGTTGCATAAAGGTAAGAACATTGCAAAAGTATAAAAGTTATCATTATAGAAGAAGAAAAACATATCTTTCTTTTATCCGTCTTTAATTAAGTAATTGAGTTAGTGATCCTTGCTAGTTGTTTAGCGCAATAATAGACAAACAAAGGCAATAGGATATGTTCTATAGAACGGAGAGTAATTTTTTTTTTTTTTTTGTATAGTTCGTATTTTATCCGTTTTAATTAATATAATATTATGTTATTAAGGACTTTCAAAAATATTTAGATAAATGTTTCATGTCTCATTTTATATAATTTATTTAACTCGATGTAGATTTATATGATTGTTTGACTTACATATCATATTGATGAGCATTGAAGAGAATATTAAATGGTCAAAAAGGTTAGATTAGACTAACATCATATTACTTATATATATCTCGATGACCTTAAATTGTTAAAAAGCTGAAAAAAAAATACTTGATTAATTATGTAATGTTTCAAACTAGATTATGTTAAGTTTTTTAAAAGTTAGTAATAAGTAGTATAAACATAGGCGTATCCAAGTTGAGAGATGTGGGTTCACGTGAATTCATATTCCTTCCATAAACCATTTATAACAATGTTATATTTCTTCAAAATTACTTAAATATATGTGCGTGAACTCATGCTCAAAGACTATTATGGTGCAATTATTATTGGGTGCATCTCTACAAGTGAAATTGACAATTCAAATCCTTCTCTGAGCGGTCTTGTTTTCGGCACAGAGTATAGATAAACATGTGAAAATTACTAAAATTTCAAAAAGAGTATAATTTGAACCTATAATTTTAAAAGTGTAACGGATCATGGTAAGAGGCTAAAGTTAAACCAGTCAAATATAAATTCTAGATTCACCCCTTTACAATAGTGCACCCATCCTATTGAAATTCCGAATCCGCCCCTAAGTATAAAGTGAAGTTGTTAGGGAAATACTCCATTCCTCCAAAAATCAAAATATAATTGCAACTATAACTTATCCATAAAAGTAGACTTCTAAATCCCAAAAGCATGTACAAGTGGACCATATAAAAGTCAATGTTAGCCCCATAAACATAATTATAGTAACTGTATCTAGTAATCTATCTAAAGCAGAGGTAGTAGGTTATAAGAATTCATATCTGAGCCAAGTAGTCTCAAGATATGTAGTCAAACTTCACTAAAGTTTTACATCTCTTCATTTTTCTTGAATAATAGAAAATGTAGGACTTGTATTCTACGGGTAGTACACACAAACTTCGCTAGAAATTTATACCCAGTAGATTAAATATTGAGAAAACTTCATTTATAGCCCATCGGGCAAAACAAATTTCAACCGGTAGCCCACAAATTGATCCATACAAGTTATAGCCTAAAAATAATGACAAGTGCTAGTTGTCGCCTCCCGTCCCTATCTTTCTTCCTTACTATCTTTCTTCTTCTCTCTCACCCCAGCAACTCATGGTTGTGGTTCCATGGACGCTTTTCTCTCTCTCTCTCTCTCTTTAAAAAGCCTCTTTGGTTTCTCTCGTCTCCCTTTTCTTGTATTTTGGGGTTTGGATCCGTTATTTGGTTCTCGAAAATCTGAAAGCCGCTGTAATTTTCATCTTATATTTTAATTCTTGTTTGCAATTCATGATTTCGGGCTCTATCTGGATTTTGAATACAAATATGCTATAACCCTAATTTATTGCCATCGCAAACTTATGGTCACGGATCTATTATGGATAAGAAAGCATGCATCGTGTTGTGGACCACACATTTGAAATGCTGATGAGCTATGAGAATGTTGTATTTTGAAGAATATTATGTTGGATCTAATGATCTGTGCTTTTTTTTCAATTTCAATTTTGTGGTGGTTTTTCTAAATCTCCATTAGTTTGTGTTTTGTGACATAATTAATTGATTGATTCACAATTTTACCGTTTTTATAATATTGTGGTTACCATTTTCGGCGACTGCGAGGCCATGGATGCCGGTGTCTTCGTCGTTGAAGAAGCAACTCCGCCAACCATAACTCTCATGGCCTTGTCTTCTTTCTCTGATTTTCTCTTATAGTTTCTGTGAATATGAAATTAATATTTTGAAGATCTTTGCCTGAAACTTTAAAACTCCGGCGATCTTGTTGCCATTTTCGGCAACTGTGTGGCCATGGATGCCGGTGGCTGGTCTCTTAATAAGAGGAAGATGAAAGGAGATAACTATGCATAAAGTTAAAATATATACAAATAGACTGTCACTATACAAAAATTATACAAAATAGACTATCATTATACAATTTGTATACAATAGATATACAATAATATACTGTCATTATATATAAAATATACAAAATAAACTGTCACTATACAAAATATATACAAAAGAGATTGTCACTATACAAAAATATATACAAAAGAGATTGTCACTATATAAAAATATACAAAATAGACTGTTACTATGCAAAAAATATACAAAATAGACAAAAATTATACAAAATAAACTGTCACTATGCAAAAAATATACAAAAATAGAATGTTATTATACAAAAAATATACAAAATAGACATTTCGTATATGACATGCATTACATATTTCATTCAATTCTTAGCTAATATTATTAGATCCAGAAGTACAAAATACAATTTAAAAAGGCCGATTGCTCTATCGCGCCAGGCAGGGGTCGAACCTGCGACCTTCAGCTTAGGAAATACATGCCCTACCCACTGAGCTACAGGCACTTGTGTGATCATGCTTATNGATGAGCTATTAAAATTTTGAGGGGCTATAGAGGGTAGTTTTCTCTTAAATTATTAGTAATAATACGTTCCAAAAAGAATGATTTATTTATATATTTGAAAAACTTTAAATTTTTTATTTTATTCAATTTACTCTTAATGAAAAACTATTATAGCCACACAAATACTATGAGTTTTTGCCCTTAAGCTTTTAGGATCACATATTTCAAAAGTATCATCTAAATTGAAACAGAAAAAAACTCTTTATTACAAATATATTAAATATAACATTGTTTGATAATATTCACATAACAAACTCTATATACTTTATTTTCCCATAATAATTTTATATTATTATCAATCCATAAATAATCCATTTTATAATTTCTAGATTTCCATTTGTGAACCAATAATTTCTACGAGATGCCTATAAGTAGTCAGACTCGGATCCCAATTGAGTAAAATCTCTCACAATTCTTCTCCTTTATCCATTCAAAATTTCTGTCGACCTTCAATTATCCAATTCTATAAATTATTTGGAGCTAACTGTTGTTCTTTTTAGCTCTGGAAGAACACTCTGGCTATTCAATAGTCAATACGGTAATTCTCAGAAAACTCGAGCGTTTCTTGTGGTTGAAGCTATGAATTGATGATCAGACGCTGTTGATTCTTACAGTTCTGCTGAGCTTTCTAGAGAACTTTGTGACTCAGGTGTGATATATGATGTATGTAAATTTCAAATTTGTGGTCTTAAACATGTTTTAATATTTATGTGGCTATTATCATTAAGTATATAATTGGAAATTTAATTTAATTTCTTTTTAAATTTATAAAAGATCATTCTCTTTGAAATAGACTAAAAAGGAAATATTCACTTAAAACTAGAGAGGAGGGAGTGCATGACATTGGTATTTTGTGTATGATCTTTGTGTTTGTCTGGGTATAAGTCACCAATTGTAAAAAGGAAGCTACTATTAATTGTTTTTTCAAAGTAGAGGTGCAGTTACTCTTTTATAAAATCGAAGTACTGGATTATAATCTAATCATTTGTGCAATAGATTTCAAATTAGGCAAAATGAGCTCTCTACAGGGGCCTATTGTTTGCCCTGTGGTTTGTGGAAAGCGAACAGGTCCTGTCAATTCATCTATAGTGAAGGCTAAGATGCTGAGGAGTGAGTTCTGGGGGTTCAATGGGATATCTAGCCGGGTGGCTTGTCTACCACGATCACGTGTAAGCAAGTTGATTGGTTGCAGTTTCAGTTCATCATCAAATGGCAATGGTAGCATGGCTGAGAATTTTAGTGAAAGCGATGCTGATTATGTGAATTCTAGCGTGGTTGAAGCTGGTATGCTAATTTTGTTGATCAGGGCGATATGTGTGCTGTGTTTTGACATTTTGTTTGCTGTATAGTGGTGTGTTGTTTGTTTTTGTACAAGTGGAGTAAACTATTTCTTCACTTAACATTGATGGAAAAGAGTGGATCTTGCTGAAGTTCCAACTTTTTTCTGGAAATGGTTTTCCACGATATGATGAAGTAATATTTCCTGAAAAATTTTCCCCATCTATTCTGCTAGATTTCTGTAATAGTACTGTTTTGCTAAATTTGCAAGACAGTCAATCTTTCAACATTTAAGGGATCAACGAAGCACGCTGCCAAGTCTCAACACATGTCAAAGTAAAAGTGATACAATTTTTGTGGTGACTTTCCTATTATCCTGTGTAGTTGAAGTGCGAAGTGGGAAAGATGGTTTCGTGATCAAGATGAGAGATGGCAGACATTTGAAATGCGTCCCCAGCAATCCACAGTGCGGTCATATACCTGATTATGCTCCACAACCAGCGATTGTGCTAAGAATGGAGGATGGAACTGGGCTGCTTCTTCCTATAATTGTTTGTATGTTCATAATTCACTTATTTTTTAGTGAGCGCACATTTTCTTGGGACTGTTTTCGAAATAAGGATGTCTAATGTTGTGTCTCCTTTTTATACAACAGTGGAGATGCCAAGTGTGCTGCTCATGGCAGCTGTACGCAATATCCAACTTGTACGTCTTCTGTTTCATATTGATTCTGATAAGGCCATTCAATTATAAAAAGCATTGTTTTTATGTTGTTACTAAAAGGTACGAATATTGGCTCCATTTCAGGCCAGACCAACAATGTATCATGTTTTGAAGGAAATGGTCGACAAGATGGGTTATGCAGTAAGTTTGTTGTTTGTACGCTTACCGCTTACTGCCATATCCTTTCAAGTTTAATCTGACAGGTTGTAATTTGAAGGTTAAACTTGTTCGAGTTACCAAGAGAGTGCACGAGGCATATTTTGCCCAGTTATACCTAACCAGGGTATGTGTAAAATATACTAGTTGCAAATGCTGACACAAAAGCATGTATATATTTTGTACTATGCAAATTTACGGACTTTCATGTGCTTGTGGTAACAGTTGGACAATGATGCTGAGAGTATTAGCTTTGATCTTCGTCCTTCTGATGCGATCAACATTGCTGTGCAATGCAAGGTAAATTAGTTGGAATGTAATGCATTTTTGACATATTTGATGGTAATGGACACATTATTATTCCCGAGTTTTTACATGTTGTAGGCAGTCTCTGTGCATATGGATTTCTTCATTTGCAAGAGATAAATTGCTTATGGAATTGAAAATTCCTTTTCCATTTTTTCTAAGCTCAAATATCTCAATAATTTTATCCGTTATTTCTCCTTTTTCCTCATATCTCAATAACTTTAGCTTCTAATCTCGAAAAATAAAAGAATCATGGTAGGATGAAAATATTACCCAAATTCCATGTACAATGCAGTTGCTAACAATCCCCTTTAGACCACAAACTGAAATTCCATTTACAATTTGGTGACTGTAGCTCGGCGGAATTACATTTTTGAACCAAAGACAGTGAAGTATCAGGACTTATGTACTTTATAATTTTTCTAGGTGCCAATACAAGTCAATAAAAGCTTGGCGTATAGTGATGGCATGAGGATTGTTGAATCTGCAAAGCCTGCACTGCACACTGCCGCTTCAGACGGCCTATTGTTCAGTCAGCTTGACAGGTAAGTTGATATTCTTCATAACTATCGGTCCAAATAAGTTGCATTTGGTACTTCAGTTGTCATCTATTGCTTCTCCTGAATCTGTGTGCCGCACATGATTGGATCTAATATGGTGCATATCTTTTGTTTCTAGTATATAAGTGAAAAATAGTAGTTTGAAAATTCAAAACTAGCTGAAGTTCTAATGTAACCTGATATGTCTGCATTCAGATATGAGAATGACGCCTTACATATGCCTCTTTTGAACGAAATATAGTTCTAACTTGCATTATCGATTCAGGCCCACTGGACAGCCATCCATTGAAGCAAAAGAGTTTATTCTTGTGCGGAACATGCTGGTTGCTGCAGTTGAAGAACGATATACAGATGCAGGTAGACTTTGTTAACTTGTCTAGAAATTATGTGGAACATTAACATATAACTATCTTGTCGACTGCCTTTCTTTTCATGCTATTAAAACCTTTCAGTGTTGGTTCTTATTGTAAGATGGAGAGTGTTACAGCTACAGAAACTTGCAGGGGGTTTTACAACTGGTAAAAGATGTTGTCATTATAATTTTTGTCGCCAACCAGTTTAGATTTAGACATTGAGCCTGATAGCTGCAAAATATATGATGCAGTACAAATTCATCAAAAACCAGAAAGTAGAAGCATTTTTATGACTGTTCCCCAGGATTTGGTCAATTTTGTTTCTATCTCTCTGATTACTAAGTAATTGGACTGATTGCGTGTAGTAGTCAATGATCAAAGTAATTTATGTGCTTTTTCTATAGGACCTGAAATGTGGTCATCAACTTGGAACGCTAACCTCCTAGTTCTCACTAAGGATAAAAATGCCTTCATCCACTTGTGTTTCTTGAAAACTGCTCCTAACTCCGCGTAGGGTGGGGGTGGGTTTTTGGTTTATGCATTTTTAACATTTCTTCTTTTTCTGTCATGATCTGAAAAAGATGAGCTGGGTATGTGCATGAAATGTTTTCACATAGCACAAAAAAGTAAAATTGAGAGTATGTTTGCCTGTGTTGTATCAGTTAGCTTGTTCACTTGCATGCTACTGTTTTCTACTTAGTTGAAAACTTTTTGGAGTGCCAAGCTTTCTGCTGTTTGTAACTCGGTTAAAGCTTCTAATCTGCACTTGTCTATTGGGTACTGTAGCTCTTTGGAGGGACCAGCTTATGCAACTTCGCTCCGAGAAGAATTGGACATAGCAGGTGCATTTTTCCAATCTTTTATCCTCAGTGACACACAGCAAATCCAGTTGTGTTGTCTCCTTCTTCATGCGTTCCTTCCAATTTAAACACACGTCGGGGTTCGGAGAATACTTGAATTTTATAAGAAACTTGCTTCATTTGTTTGACAGGATTGTTGCAGCTTGTTCAAGCAAGAACTCCTATGTATATAGAAGCCATTCATCGGAGTCAATGTGGTCAGCATCTTGAAGATCAATTATAGCTCTTCCCCAAATATGTAAAGAACTTGTATATATATTGTATAAACTGTAATGTTAATGTAAATAAACCTGAAACTGGTAAAACTTGTTCCTCGCATGTCTAGCTAAGTTACAGCAACAATAACAACCTAGTATAATCTCATAAGTGGGGTCTGGGGAGGGTAGTGTATACGCAGACCTTACCACTACCCCAGGGTAGAGGGGTTGTCTCCGATAGACGTTCGTCTTCTTACGCAGACCTTACCACTACCCCAGGGTAGAGGGGTTGTCTCCGATAGACGTTCGGTTCAAGAAGACGAAAAGAGACAATAGGTTAATAACAGTAACAGAAGCCACAAAAATAATACTAGCAACCTAAGAATCAGAAAAATAGATGAAAAAAGCAATATCAATAACTAGTAACAATGGCAAGGTACTAGGAAAATGGAGCGGAAAAATAGTATGAACATAACATGACCCACTAGCAGTGTAAGACAAGACAATGACAGACTAGCCTCACACCTAGTACGGAGTAGAAAAATGCTCAACTACCTCTTAATCTTCAACCCTAATGTTCGACCTCCACAACTTCCTATTAAGGGCCATGTCCTCGATCGGAAAGCTGAAGTCGCATCATGTGTCCTGCCTGATCACCTCTCCCCAATACTTCTTAGGCCTCTCTCTACCTCTTCTCATACTCGCCAAAGCCAATCGCGCGCACCTCCTTATCGGGGCATCTAGGCTTCTCCTCTGCACATGTTCGAATCATCTAAACCTCGCTTCTCACATTATGTCTTCCTTGGGGGCCACACCCACCTTCACCCGAATAACTTCTTTCGTAATCTTATTCAATTTTGTGTGTCCGCACGTCCATCTCAACATTCTCATTTCTGCTACTTTCTTCTTTTGGATATGAGAATTCTTGATGGCCAACACTCCGCCCCATACAATATGGACAGTCTAACCACCGCTCTAAATAACATACCTTTAAGTCTCGGTGGCACATTTTTGTCACACAACACACTAGATGTTAACCTCCATTTCATCCACCCACCCTTATACGGTGCGTGACATCCTCGTCAATCTCCCCATCCCTCTAGATAACTGACCCAAGATACTAGAAACTTCCTCTCTTGGGGATGACTTGTGAGTCAAGCCTCATGTCCATGTCCACTTTTCCTGTCATGTCGCTAAACTTGCACTCCAAATATTCTGTCTTAGTCCTGCTCAATTTGAAACCTTTAGACTCAAGGGTCTGTCTTCAAACCTCCAACCTTTCGTTAACACTGTCTCGCGTCTCATCAATCAGAACTTTATCATTAGTGAATAATATACATCATGGCACCTCTTCTTGAATATGGTGTGTCACTGGGGCGAAGCTACACTCTGGTAAGGTTGGTCAATTGACCACCCTTTCTCGAAAAATTACACCTTTCTCCGAAAATTACACTGCGGATTTAAGTAAAATATTAGGTTTTAAAGATATATATATATATATA